CCACCACTGCCCGGCTCATTTATTTATTTTTTTAAAGCATGAGGATCTGTATGTTGATGCTTAGCTGTAGCAATAGCCTCCTATTGGTGAGTAAAGAAGATGCATATACTCCTGTTTTTATTCACGTAATTGTGTGAGAACCAGAGCACCATCACTGCTCTGGGGTGAGCTGCTAGTCCATGGCACTGAGGCTTAGTCATTGAAATCCTTAAGAAGTGTTAATGCCTCTTTTTGAAAAGTCATAGCACTTTCTGTTAAAGGATAACAGATCTGTAAGTTAAAATGTATTATTTGAGAGATTTTTCTAGTTGGATAATAATTTCCTTCAGACTGGTAACTAGTTACTTTCATTTCCCTGTACGCATTAAGTGTATACAGGCCAGGGTGGGTTGGAGCACGTGATGATTCAGGTGTTATTTAATCTGTGTCAATATGAGAAAGAAAGAGGCAGTCATTGGGCTGAAACATGGAGTCTAGCATGAATTTCACCTAAGGCAAGCGCCATTCTAAAGAGAAAACGTAACTCACAAGTGTGTCTCTTTCTGGTTCTCAGGGATGTTTCGGAAGGATGAAGAACTGACTCCCTCGCAGAGGGGATTAGCTGTGAGGTATGTGTCTCTGTATCTGCCGTGGTTTGTGTGTTTCACCGGCTCACGGAGGGCGGCCTTCTTCCCTATGCACTGCTGCTGGCCACCACGTTGTGCTGGGCTAGGCTGCAGTCTCTCCGGGGTCCCCCTAAGTCTGTTGCCTGGGCCTCTGTACCGCGTGTGCCTCCTGTGAGCCACATGAGGCCCACCGAGTGTCATCTCTGGGAGGCTCTCAAGGACAGATGGTTTGTCTGCAGTTGTATTGGCTCTGCTGGTAACAGTAACCGCCACTCACAGGACGGCCACTTGACAGCCGTGACTGGGCCAGCATCTTAACCCAGCGCACGGTGCCACACAGATGTTATTATTTGAGGGGTTCATTCGGTCATTGTCTTCCTTTGCTCTGCTTCTGAAGAGTGGTCTAAGGAGTGGCTTGGTTTTCTGGCCAAGTCTTTTTCAATCTAACACAATTAAAGAGGAATTATACTCCTTTTACCTTTAAAGAAACCAATTCCTTTTGAAGTAGCCTGTTTCTAAATACAGAATTAACGAATGCATGGCTGCTAGAACAGCGGTCCTCAACCTGTGGGTTGCAACCCCTTTGGGTCGATTTGTAATCATGAAAATGCATCCTGCATACCAGATATTTGCATTACAATTCATACCAGTAGCAAAATTACAGCTGTGAAGTAGCAATGAAAATAATCTTATGGTTGGGGGTCAGCACAACATGAGGAACTGTATCTAAGGGCCACAGTGTCAGGAAGGTTGAGAACCACTGACCTAGAAGAAGGGGATGACGTTCATGGTGGTGGACAGATGTGTACCAGAGTTCACCCTTTTACCCCCTTTAAAACATCTGCACATCTTCTTTGGGGTTCCCCATCTCCTGAATGGCCAGTCTTCATACAGCAGTGCACAGCCATTGAATACACTTACCTGACAAATAATCGGATTGGTTCTTGACTTTTCCTTGGCCTTGAACTACCCAAGACACCGTCATATACAGACATGGGCTCTGATTCCCCGGTTCCTCTCAGGCATGCGCCTAGCAAATGGCTGGTCTCAGTTAACTTCAGCTCTCCTCCTGCTGAATGGTAGGAGGAGGCCAAGTAGAAAGACACTCACTCTTGTTAGCTGGATTCATTTTGAATGTTTTGCTCTATTTTTAAAGTCGTGGTCCTCGGGGCCAGAGCAGTGGCTCATCGGTTGCTGCTCTTGCAGAGGACCAGGTTGGTTCCCAGCACCCACATGGATCCAGGGGCTCTGACACCCTCTTCTGGCTTATTCGGGCACCAGGCACACACATCTACACACACATGCATGTGGGTAAAACACTCATACATTAAATCCTTAAAAAAAAAAAAAATTCATGGTCCTTCCTATTGACAGCAAAGCAATTACATTTCCTTAGTTCTCTCTCTGAAAAGATTTTAGATTCTCCCTTCCCCAGAGTTCCAACACTCTCTCGCCTGTACTCATGATGGAAAGTTGAATTTCTTTTCTGTTTTCTTCAGTAATGGTAAGTTCTTTATTAAGACGTCTTTCCCGTTTCCACCCACTCAGCACATGGGTTACTGTGTGTAACCTGACAGGCTTGAGTGCATCCTGTAGCTGGAGAGTCTCTTCCCAGCTCCCGCCAAGCCCCGGCAGTCCCGCAGCCCATTTATAAAATAAACACATAGACTTTTATATTTTTTATAAACTGTGTGGCCGTGGCAGGCTTTTTGTTAACTGTTTTTATATCTTAAATCAACCCATTTTTGTTAATCTATAAGTTGTCACATGGCTTGTGGCTTGCGGTATCTTTACATGTTGTTTGTCATGGCAGTGGCTGGCGGCGTCTCTTGACTCAGCCTTATTGTGTTTAGAATTTTTTTGTTTGTTTGTTTGTCCTGCCTGTACTTTTTGCCATTTTATTTATACAGAGCGATATCTACAGCAGCATCCTGACCCCCAGAACAGCCCAGGTAAACTCTAGACCAGGATGTCACCAGGGCAACCTCATAAGATGAGAGAAAAAGCTGCCTGCAGTCACTGCAGAGGACAGCCGTGCCCAGGGTTCCTCACTCTGTGTCATTCTAGAGTCATAAAACCCACCAGAGTCCCTGAATCTGTAACAAAATACTTCCTTTTCTAGTTCTGCGTTATAACTGCCCATAATTCCATGTAAGGCTGCTGGCTTCTCATTTCTGACCTTAATCAGGTTCATTTTGTTTCTTCCTCTTGGCGGGGTCATCGCCAGCTTTTCAGGAAGAGGATTATATTGTCACACATTTCCTTCTATCCACGACCCTCCCATCATCATCCTTCTTCTCCACAGTGGCTCCACCTCTGATCTCTGCTTCCTCTTTTCTCCTCTGCCCCCTGTGATCAGATCTGTTTCCTTTCTTCCTTGGTTGCCCTCAGCCTTGTTGGCATGGCGATCAGCCACAGCGGCATCACTGGTCCAGCCGACAGCGCCTCACTGGATTCCTGGACGCCACATTCCCTTGCTTTTCTTCCTCTCTGCCCGCCTGCTCAACCCTGTGCCGCTCTCCCGTCTGGCCGACCGTGGCTGTACCCCAGAACTCAGACCTGGACTTCCCAGCTTTCCCCAGGTGCTTCCGCATGGAGCTGCGCATTCCTGCTCAGCCCTCCCCCTCCCCTCCAGCCTCAGTGTCCTCACTTGGATAGCAATAGGTCTTCTCAGAACACAGCCCCCGATTTCTGTCCACCCCGTCATGTGTTTCTCCAACCCTGCCACTGGCTGGCTGGTAGCATCATTTCATATTGGGGGCTGATGGGGAACATAAGCAGATTTCATTTTCTTACTGCAGGTCCATTCCACTAGCAAGTCCAGTGAACTTTCAGTCATCTCCAGTCCAGTTCTCCACACACCTCTGTGCCAACCTGGCCCTCTAGAGGTCTAGGAGGCTGCTTGCCAGAGTGCACTTGATTCTTTTCCTGCTCTCTGTAGCAGACTTTCTAGGTTGGGTCCAGCAGTCCT